ACATACAGTACGTACAGCACATACAGTACTTACAGCACATACAGCACATACAGTACATACAGTACATACAGTACGTACATCACATACAGTACGTACAGCACATACAGTACATACAGTACGTACAGCACATACAGTACGTACAGCACATACAGCACATACAGTATGTACAGCACATACAGCACATACAGTACATACAGTACGTACAGCACATACAGCACATACAGTACATACAGCACATACAGCACATACAGTACATACAGACAGTACGTACAGCACATACAGTACGTACATCACATACAGCACATACAGTACATACAGACAGCACATACAGCACATACAGTACATACAGTACATACAGCACATACAGCACATACAGTACATACAGCACATACAGCACATACAGTACATACAGACAGTACGTACAGCACGTACAGTACGTACATCACATACAGCACATACAGCACATACAGTACGTACAGACAGTACGTACAGCACGTACAGTACGTACAGTACGTACAGCACATACAGTACGTACAGCACATACAGTACTTACAGCACAGACAGCACGTGCAGTACATACATTACGTACAGTATGTACAGTACATACAGCACATACAGCACATACAGTACGTACAGCACGTACAGCACGTGCAGTACATACATTACGTACAGTATGTACAGTACATACAGCACATACAGCACATACAGTATGTACAGTACATACATCACATACAGCACATACAGTACGTACAGTATGTACAGCACATACAGCACATACAGTATGTACAGTACATACAGTGCATACAGCACATACAGTATGTACAGTACATACAGCACATACAGCACATACAGTATGTACAGTACATACAGTGCATACAGCACATACAGTAYGTACAGTATGTACAGCACATACAGTACGTACAGTATGGGGTTAATGCCGCACGTTGTTTTATGAATATGTTACTCAGAAACAAAAGCATTTGCATGTTTTCATCAGGCTGAATGGAGATGAATGGACAGAGTTCACCTAAACGATGAGAACAGAACAGCTGCTCAACAAATAAACGTTGACGTGAGATTATTGTTTCTACGTTTAAAAAGATGAACCTCCTGATGTCATAATTAATACAGCGTCACATTCCTTTATTACCACGGCCTGATGTTTCATCATCTTTTTATTACAATAAAGTGTTTATTGACTAAAGGACTCTTTCACAAAACAGAACATAAAAGATTATTACGTCAGTCTGACTTTATGATATTTCTCATCCTGTACTGTGACTTTTTATTACATTTGATGTCATGTCTATGACATACTTCCCTATCACTATGATTTTGTTACTTCTGGCCTAAACTGCTCACAAGCGTTGAAACATGGCGATTAGATCTGCTCTCACCCTGGAGGAGAGACTAAATACAATATTAGGACTTTTTATTAACATTTTCATGACTTGCTATAGTCAAACATTTACGCAATATTTATGACATTCTATACCATAGTTCTCTAATGTCAGAGTATGTGATCGGTTCATGTGATCGGTGAGATTCACTGAAGGAAAGTGAGGTTAAATTACATTTTAATGGGTACTACATTACAATAACAATTAACACACACAGTACACACACACCTACAATATACACACACACACCTACAGTACACACACACACAGATTAAGCAATTATCTGTCAGCCGTTTTTCCTCCTCTGACATTTATTACCACAGCCTGTAGATTGAATTGTCTTCTGCGATCGTGTTGCTTGAATGATGGCCGTTGTTCTCCAGCTTTTCTCTTCACAGTAAAATAACTGTGCAGTTGAGCAGGTTTCTCATCCCTCAGCAATCTGCAGAAAAACAAAGACCTGATGTAGCTTGATAATCATGTTGTGCAGAGCGATGCTCACTCACAGTGATGGAGACAAAGATGGAGGAAGCAGGTCACACTGTTCTCTGACACACTTGAAGAGTCTCTCCCTCGATCCACTGCGTCTTTATCTGTGCTACATTCAGCATCGTGGTCTTCTGAACCGTGTTTCTAGACTGCATCTCATGGATCCTCCGTTACTAACACAGTGCTGCAGACACATCAGCGCTAACCTCAGCTCTAACCTCA